TGGATGATTTTCTTCAAAATGAAGTGGGACCACTATGAAGGCACCCTCTTTCCAACGAAAAAGAATCATGAAAATCGGTTCCCAAATACCGGAGTTATCGCGTAACATACATACAAAAAATTGAGAACCTCCTCCTTTTTTTGAAGTCGGTTAAATAGTAGTTATTAACAAAAAAATATCTGGAAAATCAAGTATACATATATCTTTTTTTTGCCTCGCACTAGGGAAACCGTAGGTGCCATGGACGCACACATAAACAACCTCAAATTACACCCAAAGTCGCAAGAGAAATAAGTCGATACCATACAAATAAATATTTCTCGTTTAGTTGTATATGTATATATAGTTCGTACACGGAGACAGTTAAATTATCTAACTTCTCAATGGCTGGCACAGACTACGGTGCTCCACATGCTGCTCCAACCTTAACATATCTCGACGCTCCTTTACCCGGATGAGTGTTATCATTCTACGCATTTCAATAAATTATCGTTTACAATTTTTATCCATAATTACGTTTCACATTTTTTACAATCGCAATTAAATTTTGTCATATTTATCTAAATGATATTTTAATTATTAAACCAGATACTCCAGCAAATAAATTATAATTTTAATTTTGAAAAGCGGATATCAAACTTAGCGGTTCCCCTCCCAATTTAGGGAACGGATACAAAATACCGGCGAAAATTGCTCACTCCACGGCGAGTTGTAAAAAATTTACATTGTGAATAGAGATGCGAAAGTACTCGATTATATTGGTTTGATGTAGATATGTACATAAAGTATCTACGTGTTCTTATGCATATGGCACCTGACCGTATTCACAAGGATGTGCTACAGATTCGAATTACGTTTGCCTTACCCAATATTTTTGGCTCAGTCTTTGACTATACGCGATCCCACCAACGCCTAATTTTGTATTAGCATGTAATGACATTATCGGCATGCCATTACCTTATTGTTAATATTGCGATATTCGTTAGAAATAAATCCTTTCGGTACTCAGAGGTTTGAAAGGCACCGTCACTACGCCCATCATCCTGACACTTAAGTTGACAAGCTTCATGTGCCTCTAATTTCACCAGCACTTACCCTTCAAACCGAAACGCAGCAACAACAGAAATAGCGAGCATCACTACTTGGCGGCAGAAATAGGTATCGTGCCAGTACCTCTTTCACAAGGAGCTCTACTGCTACTAAATATCTTGATATTTATAAAATTATTGGAAAAACCAAATGCTACCCCTAACAATGTCGGGCCATGGATTTGTATCAGAGACGTAATCTAAATAGTTTTCCCAAAATTTTATTCGATTTTATGCAGTTTTCTCACCGTTGGTCATATGTGGTCAGAAATTAAAGAGACAAAACTATAATTCGGCATGGATATTATAGATATTTAATTATCAAAGAAAATAAATATCTTATTAATACCGTCGAGTATATAACCAGAAATAGCGACGAAATGTCATTTAATTTGTTTGAAAACTATTCTGCCAAATCATTACTGTGACAACTATGCTCCAACTGGCCAGCTCGAATTCGAAACAATTGACGGGTGTCGTCAATTGTTTCACATCTAATTGACCAGTGTAACTTGAGCTTTTCTATAGTGGACGACAATTGCAAAATTCATTTATTTAATATTTAATTACCGATGAAATGTGATTCCGTTTGTTTTGTAATTAGATGTTTTGCTGTTTTTCTCACAACACCGAATGGAACAGCCCCATTGTTATAGATATTATCTTTATTTAATAAAAATACAGAATATTTTTGGAACATACATACGGAGACGTACACACAGGTCAGTTGTTGGCGCTGTACTATTTCAGTTTCCTAATTTGAGACTTCAGCGCAAACGAGAGTTAATATTTGAAAGTGATAGAAGGAGACCCATTACCTGATGAGTTGCCAGGGTTGGATGGCTCTTATTCCGTCTCTATTTCTGGTTATATACTCGATGCTTAATACTTTCGAACATGAATTATCTATTTCATCACTTTGCATATTCTCAACTCTACAGTAATATTTCAGAATACGAAATAAGGGTGACATTTTAGAACTCTCAAAATATTAGTGTTGCTTGTGTTTTATTTGCAGCGTTCCACTTCAGACGGATACGACTCGGAAATAATTCGGTTAATTTATGTGTAATTCGCAATGAAACACGCCTTTTTGCTGTTAGAAATATGGCAATACGGCACTCAAAACAAATGCTTTAAAAAATTCAGGAAAATGTTGTCGATTAGGTCTCAGCAGGAATTTTAACTTTTAGCTGGTAGTATACATAATTAAGGTTCCACCAAATTAATCAACGCGAAATCAGAATGATAACCCGACTCCTTATCACCACGCCACTAATTTTAAATTGACGGTGGATCAGTTTTGGGGATCAGATGGGAATAAATCGGTTTTCCTAGTGCGGTGCTATGAATGTGTTGCGTTGTTATTATTACTTTAATCTGGATTTGTAAAAGTCAATCAATTTCCTATTACGCAGTAGCAAGTACTTGTAATAGATTGTTTTGTACACATAATGGGAGTTATTATGTTCTGATTATTACGAATTAAATTTTAGAGTAGTGCTTTGTTTAACTTAGAGTTTATTACCGCAAGTTACCACTACGTGGAAATCCTCGTAGGGTGATGCGCGCATTATTAACATGGTAATCGTATAACATTTTTCTAAACTTTGATTATTCGTCTGCATCCCAAGCCAAAGTCGTTGCCGGGTACCCTCGGGACCGCTATTTGGCTTATAATAAGGGTTAAGAGTCTTCAGCTCTCCCTTTAGTCCAGTAGCAAGGTCAAGGTCATCATAATAATATCCTACATAAAAAGAAAAAACGAAAAAAGATAATTTCTTTTGAGCTCTTAACAGTTTGGCGACCTCCTTAGCTCTACAGTTTACTCTATGGAGCTGGATAAGGAGGTTAGGTATTTGATTCCCGGTAGAAGCAATTTCGGAAAGTAATTGCTTTCAATTCTGGTCTAGGTGATCTAGATCTAACAATAAGCTAACTTTATTTTTTGGTCGATTTCTTTTTTTCTCTTTTATTTTTGTAAAATGTAAGTGCGCATTTGACCTCCATCTCACCTGATGGAAAATGACGATGAGGTCGACGATGTAGCATGCACTCCTAAATAATGAATATTTACTCTCGCCTTGAAAAGACCCAAGTTATAACGTTCAGGGAACAAGTCTGAAGGCAGAGAATTCCACTCCATAGCATAGCATATATTTATTTACTAATATTATGCTGCCCGAATTTTGTGAAAAAAAAAAGAAACAAAAACAAAATGAAAACAGAGGTGTAGTGTTCATTGAAGTTGTTGTTTAACATATTGTATTGTTATTATTAACAGTAAGATCTTTGTTTCGCCCGGTACACCTAAAAAGATTGCGATTTAACACAAGTAATCTACATCAATCTTTCTCGCCTAATAAAATACAACGTCAATGTACTAAATTAGTCACCCTCCACCGTATGTCAACTCCAAAATGAACAGGCTAATTCACATAAATTACCAGTACGTGAAGTAAGCTTGTCTGACTTGCAACTTTTGCAATTAGCCACTTTCCGAATTCTCGGGACGCAGAGATGTGCGATGACGTCACAAGTTTAATATGCGTAATTTATGCTCCACATGCTCTAGGAAATTTTACTTTATCTGGCTTACGAGTTTTCGAAACCTCACAATGTTTCATGTTCTTAACTTTTGAGATAAACTGCACGTGCTTAGAAAGGGATCTATTTTGCCACAACTTTTGTGCTTAGCTCATGTCCATGAACGTATTCGAACGTAATTCAAATCGCATATAATAAAACCCGATAAGAAAAAATGTTTTAAAATTTTCATAGCGATACACATACCGACACATTGTTTATTCCCAGTACTTCCATGTAGAACAATTGTAACCTTAACATGTCATAATTATTCCCATTAATTCCATGTAATTTTAAACTATTTTTACACCTGACTTTTCTTCCTCATCAGGTCTTTAGTATTTCACTAACCCCATTTCCAAGATGGACAAATATTTTAAAGAGTCTATAAATGCAGAACATTCGATAACAAAACACTGTTTTATTTTTACTTCTTTATTCATATAAAAATATTATCAACTCCCGTGCAGGATTGAAACCTTTAAATATTGTCCATGCTTTTAAAACTAAAAAGAAATATCAATTTATTAACAAAAAATTATGCAATAATTAGGGCAGTTTTTAATATTATAAGTTGGATTGTCTAGCGTAACTGTTCTAAAAAGAAACCGACACAAATTACTGCAAATGGGCAAGAGCATGAATCAACTTTCAATACTATTTGCATTTTTAACGCGTCGTGTAATAACGTAATGGAAAAGGGTTCCACAAAACCCGAGCTATAAACGAGACTTCAAATTTTACATATTTTATTATCTTTTCATTGCGCTCTAAAAAAACGTGGCGTTAAAAATTAGGTATCCCGAGAAAACAGCATTCATTATAATGAAATGATCTCGTTGTTCCACTAACGGGACTTTTTATACAGTCAGTAGAGTTAGCTAAAAGAAGAAAAAACAATAATCCGCCGACTGGAGGAGTGCCAAATCCCATTTCCTCTATACTCAGTAATTCTTACTGGGACAGTTGAGGAATAACTTCATAAATATTTCGACAGAGTTTTCAGACTAGCTCGCTGACGGTGTTCCTTTGTCGCACTCTCTGAGCAGGGATCTAGTGTCGCGCATTGCAGCATTATACTGTTCGCTCCCTGTACGAACGAATATTTACGTAATGGTACAGATATACAATGCCGTATGTTATATTCACACATTATGGAATATATTTTATAAAGTAGGAATAATTTACCTCAAGAATAGCACAAAGCTTAACGTTTTTAATTATCTACATGAGCTAAAACACACACGCAATATGTTTTCATCATTATTCTAAACAACTTAAGTTTTCTCTGTACACCAGTCAAACATTTATTTTTCTTTGTTTCAGGTTACAAGCCCTGTGCTAGTCGTGGAGCTGACGCTGAACAGACTAGAAGGGACTCAACTACGAGCCTTGGGCCTTCTATCAGTGTTCGGCTTCAACGTGACGTACGCTGTACGGGGGCCCACCGAGCCCATTGGACCCCCCTCTTGCAGCGCGCTTGAATGCCGTCTGCTTGGGCACTGCTATGCCAGTCATGACTACCAGTAATTACATTTTTCATTAATATTTACTAAGCAAATTGTCATAGCTCTTATAACAAAAAGTACAGAATATTACAGACAACTACATGGTCGAGTGGCTTGCGCACTGGTCTCCATGGTACCGCCATTTCTGAAGTCCCGGGATCTATGCCCGAGTCAATGTAGAAAACTAACTTTTATCTATTGTCTCGAGTCTGAGTGAGTCTGAGTTGTGACACCGTCGTTGTTTCCAATTTCCATAACACAAGTGCTTTAGCTACTTACTTTGAGATCAGAGCAATGCATGTGATGCTGTCTAATATTTATATATTACCACTTTCATATAAACGACAGATGTATTTTTTTATACAACCGATTTCGTGATGGACCAAAAATGAAAAGCTAAACGCACCGATTGCGATTTTACCAAAAACGTAATTTCAATTACCATTTTTGTGTCTGTTTTTTCTATGAAAATCAAACCTATTTACACACTCAATAAAGTGTGAAAATGTACTGCAAAAGACAAAATGGATGCGATGGACTCGATGACAAGGTGATCCACTCACAGCAAAATATAGTACCATCCTTCACTGTATACAAATTGGACAGTACACGGTAAAAAAGCTCTCATATTGTGTCGGCGAGTATTCCACGCGAATATTTTGTAAAATTTATTGCTCAACCCGCAATATTTTCCACATGGCAGGGAGTTTTTCTGCTCGTGTTTCGAGGGATATTCGGGCGCAGACTGTGGCCTGGGGCCGCTTTGCCCACGGACCAACATGTGCAAAAACGGCGGAACCTGCAGGTAAGCGAATGAATATTGTGCCTAATCGAGAACGTCAATCGTATCAAAATTGTACATTGTCGTTTTGCGCTGCATTTATTGTAGCGAGGTTCAACCGTCCCATTTAATTTAATGCAATTTCTACAGAGTAACCAATTTCGCGCGGTCCGCGATGGCACTCACTCTGCTCAATATTTGTTAAGAGAAACTTTCGGTCGTTACAACTTAAATGCACATTATTCTGAAATGGTTTCCTTCTATTTAAGTTACATTTTGTAGAGCGTCGAGAGTGTCCTTGCAAATAAGCACTGGGCTGCGTTTGCCCGGGTTTCGAGCTGACGCAAATAACACGCTCTTGAGACGTCGCACGATTTCAGCACTTCTAAAACAAAATTAATGTAAATGTTTGGCTTTACGAAGTTCGGCCCGACGCTACAAAATGCGAGCTCACATTTCTCAAGTTCGCCTTTGTTTTGGTTAACTTTGTTCTCTCGGAAAGTGCCTGTAATTATAATTCGTAAAAAGATAAATGGTTAGCTCGAGTGCGTCACAGCGAATCGAGAATATGTTAAACCGCCAGGAGCATGTTATTGAACAATATTATTTTAAGAACAAACGTGATCTTCGTGAACGAAATTCCCTAAGGCAAGGAAACTTTTTAACTTTGCGAAGTTCTTACAACGCTTTTACGGTCATAAGAAAGGCGTATTAAAAGATACCGCTCATTATGTTGACTTGCGTTGGTTGTCCACCGCGTAGCAGTTTATGAATATTTATGAATACCTCCTCAGTGTATATATTGTATGTTAATTATCTTAGCCTCCAATAGCTTTTACGTTACTTAATCTCTTGTAATCTCGTAAATTATGCATGGTTCGAACATCTGTTTACAAAAATAAAAAGCCTAATACATCATAAATTATAATAAGTTATAATTTGACAGACAGATGGGTCCGGCGGCCGTGGGCTGCAGCTGCGCCCCTGGCTTTACCGGCGACCTATGCGAATCGCAGATTGCAGCACCAGGTACCTTCATATATTACAATACATAGCCTTTGTAAGTGGGCACATTATATATCACTCAAAATTAATATACAGAGCTAATTGTAAAATACTAACAACCTCGCAGGACTATATTACTAACATCATTAATAACGATTTTTTTTACAAAACATAATAAATTTGCCAAAAATAAACTTTTAAGTTTTTGTTGTACTATGTGACACTTTTATGTTTGTACGGAAGTTATTTAAATATTTTTATGTTTGTACGGAAGTAAAATCTGATCAATTATTAAAAGTCGTGGAACAAAAGATGGAGTGGGAGTTGGAGTGAGTGGGAGGTTGTTAGTGTTTTACAAATAATCCTATATAATTCGCTTTTAACGCTTTATGTGCTAAGGGCGAAGAAAAACGTCTTAAAGCTTAAATGACTGTGATAAATTACTTCCTTTGGACCAGTGTAATGAACTACCTACCGGTTAGCTTTGTAAAGCGAATACAGCCCAATGGCTCTTATAATATTCGGCTTTTGATCAATAAAATATTAAATTGTGCATGTTTTAGAACGTGTTTACTTATTTAGTTTAGGTTAGTCTTATCTTATGACACAGACAATATGAGTTGGATTTCTGACAAAGTCCTTTAAAAAATTTACTTTACTAAATTGGTCCAATCTGGGTGTTTCGGGAGTGATTAGTTGAAGACTGTTTTATGAAAACTGCATTTTTTTAGTAATTGTAAATATTAGACCGGCAAACACGGAATTTAGGGGTGCTAATTACATTCGAAATAATAAAATAAAACACCCACAAAATTAAAGATTGATCGAAGGAAGTGACTGATGGGGTATTATTTGCTGATCAACGATAGAGGTCAACAACCTATTAAAATTACAAAAATCTTGCCCTGATTACTCCCACAAACAGCTGTTCATTTCATGATTTAGGATTGACAATATAGATTTTTTCAAGCAAATCATTAAATAATTCGAAAACTATTACACGTAGACAAAATAACTTTCAATTAAGTAGGTACATATTTAATAATATTAAGACTTCACAATTCTCTTTGTCGGTCGTTCCGTTCCTGTTGTGTTACGTACGCGAGTTAATATCCTTTAAGGAAGTTTCTCAATAGTTTGGCTTCAAACTTTTGAAATTCGATGCATGCATTATAATATAAATAAGGATTATTTGATATCCTACTGTCGCCTGATAGAAATGCATGGTCATTTTTTACTTTTTAAGGTATTTACTAATTCCGGTGAAGTATTTAATTGCTCATTTTAGCTCATTATAGTTGAATATGTGAATGTTAATTATTACAATATTACATGCAATTACATCTGTTATTGACAATTACACTATTGTTTACAATTGGGTCAGGCCGAGTAATTTTGCCGGTAACACAACAAAATTGTAAGCCAGAGTTGACGCACGATTCAGTTTCAACAAAAATGTTCCGTTTTAAGTAACAATATACGGATAATAAATAAAAAGCCATGATTTAACATAGAATATGTTTAAATCATCTATTTTCGTTTTACGTTATAGATGACATCATCGTCGTCCTTATTATTACTTCCTTTCATAGTTTCGTATTTAATGGGGTAATCTAATTCTTCTCAGTACCTTCGCTGCTTTTCAGCTGGTGTTAGAGGTATCTGATATAAAAGGATAAATAAGCTAAATGGAATGCAATGATGCAAATTTACATCCCAAAGCTCAGCCCGAAAATCAGTAATGACGTTAATTGTTCTTTTGTTTTCAAGCGTACAAAGCCTGTAAACACAGCTTTAGATCACACATGGCAACGCATCCTGATTACGCAAGAAATCTAACTTCATTTCTTATTTGTCTAATTTCTATTATTATTTAATATTATTCAGTTATGGTTTAGGCAAGTTTTTTTTGCATAAATCCTTTAAATCTAGCCATCATTCATAAAATTCAAAGTTAACTTAGATTGAATATGCACTTACCGTGAAGAAAATTAGCTCTAAACATGAAAAAACGAGTTGGGACACACCACTCGCTTCTCACATCACTTCAATAAAATGGCCGAATAACTTCGACACACTAAAATGTTAGCGCTTTCAAATAAGTCTGAATTGTCGGCTTTATATAAAGTAAAACTACCAAAAACAGTATGTTAAATCTATTGTTGTGCTTTGTTGTTCCGTTTTGGAATAAAGTCTTTTCTGTTATATTATATTCTACTAGTGAAAGCATGGTTGCGTAATGGTTTGACCTATCGCCCCTCAAGCAGAGAGTCGTAGGTTCGAATCCTCTGAGTTTTTCGGAATTTATGTGCGAAATTTAATTTAAAAGTTACCATGAACTTTAAAAACAAAACATCCTGAGGAAATCTGCACACATCTGCAAAGCAATTTAGTATTTATGACGTTCCCAATCCACGTTACCCCGCGTGGGAAGTACAGCTCAAACCCTCTCATTGTGGGAAGAGACCTATATCCAGTAGTATAATAATAATAATAATAATAATTCCATTATTTGCTTAAAACATGGTATAACAGAAGATGTTACAATAGAGTGCCAGTACAAACATGTTTCGCACATATTAAATAGCATACAAATATCTAGTTATATAAAGTCGATCAGACTACCACAACTCAATAATACAAAAATGTCACAAACGTGTCAAGTTACAAATTAATTTGGTCAAGAATGATAATCTTCAAGATAAAATCTTACATCTCATTTTCTGTCAAATATTTCGTTTAGGTCATAAAGATTATTTTCAGTTAACCACTTGTACAGCTTTGTTTTAAATGAACTTAAGTGTAATAGTTAAATCTCAATTGGTATTTTATTATATATGTCAACACACATTTTTAAACAACTTTTACTGTATTTAGCAGTCATAGGAATAGTGTCAAATAAAAGTCTGTTCGGGTTTCTGCTGAGTCTAGTATTCACATCACAGGCTTTCTTAAACAAATATGTGTAGTTTTCGTACAAAGATACAAATTTCGTATATATATATATATAATGATGGTAGTAGCAACAGACCAAGGCTCTGAAACAAGGGTCTGCATGTTTCATACGGGGGAAATCCACAAATTGCTCTAATGCATTTCCTTTGTGCTACAAAAGCTCTGTTTCGATCTGTACTATTACCCCATACTATAAGACCGTAACGTAATTTCTACATACGCCCCTACATGCGCCCTAATATGTGGTTACGACAGCTTTCTTATTTGTTATATTTTTCAGCTTTTTTAAGGCATATACATACTTATTGATTCTCGAACATACATTCTCGACGTGAGTTTTCCAGTTCAGTTCTTGATCTATGGTTACTCCAAGAAATTTTGTGTGGGATACTTCCTAAATTGAATCGATATTTAAATTGAAATTATATTTAGTATGTCTCGATTAAATTGTATATAGTTTGAATTGTTTAAGTTAATATTCAGATTATTTGCATGTAGCCAATTGATTATTTCAACAATTGTATTGTTTATGTCAGGTTCATGCTATCTTATTGATGTTGTTTTTCTACTAGAAGTTACTATACTTTTGTTCTGTCTATAATATCTTTTATGTACAGCAAGAACAGAATCGGTCCTATCACACTTCCCTGTGGAACTCCACGTATTTTGATTTTAGGACTTGAATTCCAATAATTCATTATTTGTTATTTTGGAGACAACAACGCATTGTTGACGGTGTGCCAAGTATGACTGTATCCATTGCAAAATAGGTCCTCTTATGACTGTCCTTTCCAATTTCTTAAGAAGTAAATTGTGTGACACATAGTTAAACGCTTTTGACATATCAAAGAATAATTCTGTAGTTAAGTTACCGCTATTCATATTATTCAGTACTGATTTCATAAGAATATATTGCTAATGTTGTAGATTCCCGCTTTTGGAAACCGTGTTGCTCTGGTTTTATAATATTGAATTTATCACAAAAGTCTACAAGTCCATACACTCTTCAAATACTTTTGAGAAAATACATATATGTAAGTGTAACTGGGCGATAATTATTAATATCATCTTTTTACCTTTTTTAAAAAGCGGTTTTATAATTGAATATTTCAATGCTTCAAGGAAAGTTTCCGAAGTAAATGATAAATTAATTAAATGAGTTAACACGACAATTATTTCATTAATACTGGCTTTTACTATTTTCGTGCCAATTTCATCATAACCTTCAGAGTTCGTGTTTTTTAAAGACGTCTTCTGTTATAGGTGATAAAAACATTGAGTGACGAGCATTTTAGTCATAAGATTATTATGTGATCGAGTCAAGTCATTTCTTTCTTCAGAAAAATGTAATTGGAAGCATTAGCAATGTCAACTGGGTTAGTAATTTTAGTATCGTTGATTGCAAAGTCGTTAATATTAGCGTCATATCTCATATTACTAATTTCAGCCTTAATAATCGACCATGTCGCTTTACATTTATTGGTGCTGTTATTTATAAACTTTGCCTTGGCGTTTTTCTTTGATCTGTAAATACTTCTTTAAATTTTGGAATAGTTTAGATATTTATTGTTTTCCGTCTTGTTAGCATAATACTGGTATCATAATTTACGTTTAATTTTAGCCCTTTTCCGTAATCCACGACTTATCCATTTTTGTCTCTTATCGTTGATATGTATTTTAATTCAAATCTTTGGAAAACATGCATTATATAGCAGGCGGTAAAATTCATGAAATTCATCAAACGCTATATTAAGATCTGGCTCTGTAAATACTGTAGACAATGAAAGTGCATTCAAACATTCTCTGAATTTTCTAATATTTTGCAAAGAAAAATCTTTTTTGTAGGTAAAGAAGAATTTTAATTTTGGAGGCATATGCTGTACAGGAAAACTTAGTAATTGTGCAGTGTCATGATCGGAAAGATACAGGGGCAACACAGTAGCATTTGAATCCTTTATATTATTTAAAATGTGATCTATACATGAGTGTTTGCGCGTGGGCACATTTATATGGATATTTAAGTTATGATTTTGTGCTGTAACTGGTTTGTTGTCCTTCCTGGTTTAATG